TATCACACCAACAAAAACAATAATTCTTCAATAACATCAAATATCATAGCATTCAAATTTGTCCAATTAGGCGATTTTTTTAAAAAGCAATTTGTTCAAAATACAATTTCAAATAAGGTCCATACAGTGCAATTAATATTTCCTTAAATTTCACTTAATCTATAGATTCCCCTCCCTCTCTTTCATTTTTTTTACATTATTAGCATATATACTATTTTTATTTTTAATTTTTATTTTTTTGTGGTTGTTATTTAAAATATTACGGATGTCCCTTTTTCTCCCAATGACCCATTCCACTCGGTCCCATCCCCCTCCCCAGTCCCTCTCCCCACCATTGTCTTTGTCCTTGGGTTGTGTATATATGCATATAAATTCTTTANTGCGTATAAATTCCTTGGTTAATCTCATTCTTGCTATTGTTATAAAATATCTGTTGAAGAAATAGTTTGTTTGACCAATATTTTCCCACAATCTGAAATTCGATGATTGCATTCCTTGGTGCTGTTTTACATGATCCTCTGTCACAGAGATTTCTTGTAAATGGCTAGTTACAACTAGAGACTTGACCAGGTTCAGATTCCTTTTTTTAAAGTAGCTGACATTTCATATATTTTATATAAAATTCCTGGTTTGGGCTTCATTGGAAAATTTTGCAGATCTGGCCTTCCCACCTGGCAGCAATTGGTCTGGGGCTGGGTGGTGACCAACCCCACTCCTCATTTAGGTGGGACACCCATTATCCTGTTGGCCCCAGTTCACATTACTTCCCGTCTGGCTCCCTGGGCATTGGAAGTTGACACCCCTATTCTAAACACCGCCTCTTCCTGGGCTTTGGTAGACTTCTCAACACAACATCACAAGAGGCCTTTCAGGAATGTGGTGGTGATTAGAGAAAATGATTTAGATAGGTACTTTCTTAAAATGCTTGGAGGGAAAGAGATAAGCAGCCACATCAGGGGAGGCCAAGTGATAGAATCCGTGCCCAGGATGAGGAAAAGAGAGGAAAAGTAAAACAATAAATTGAGTTCACAGAGTGCTGCAAATATGGGAGGCAGAANTAAATTGAGTTCACAGAGTGCTGCAAATATGGGAGGAATGAGCTATAGGTTCCTAGCCCCTGGTGGGAAACAGAGGAAGCAAGTGGATTTAAGGGTGACAAGACTTACATTTGTTTATATATTATGATCATATTAAAACCTTAAAAAAGAAAGAGAAGGGAGCAATAAATGTTAAATTCGCCAATAATCCTTAGTCAAAATGTGCAAGCAGGCAGTTGTTGCATAACGGAAATCACCGGGATTAAAAGAAATGAGGTGGAAATCAAGGAAAGCTTCCTAAAAAGGCCCCTGGAAAAGGATTGGGAGCCATGCTGTGGAAGTGTTGAAGAATTGGTAGAAATTTAAGGGGAGAGGAGAGTATCCTGAACGTCTTAGATTTTTTTTATGTGATTAGCAAATGTATTAAAATGAAAAGTGTTATAAAGCTATAGGAAAATAAATAACATTTAGTTGTTTTGAAAAGAATAAACCTTTCCAGAAAAGAATAAAATTATGACAAGTTGGGACATTCCTGGAAATTTCCAGATAGTTCCCCATAGTCCGAAGAATGAGTAAGAGAGAGAATCTGCGACTGGTTATGAGGAAGGGTGGAAAATTTTGAAGGACAGGCTGATTATGTAAGTTTCAGGTTGTGGTGTTTAGAACTGTTGCCACGATATTTTAGTTATTAATAACAATTTGGGGAAATCTGCTCACTTCTGGAGAAACATTTAGCTCTAATGAGAAAGAAATGCCACTGTTTGTGAATTCCCAAGTGGATGTAAGGAGCCATTCATTTGCTAAGCCTCTTAGGAAAGCCAGAGCCGATTTTACCCTTAACAAGCTGTTGACAGCTTCTGATCAAGGTGCCACCTTGGAACATGTTAGCAGCACAGAAAGTGGACTGTGAAGTCAGACCTGTGTTTAAATCCCTTTATGTCAGTCACCATGTGACCCTGGCAGCTTACCCATGGAAAATTTCTAGGGTATAAAGGTTGCTTTACACACTGAAGCTATGATTCTTACCACTTAGACTGCGGGAACTTAGAGCTCTGAACACTTGACTTCAGCACAAAGAGCCACAACTGCTCACACTTACAGAGCACTTACTATGTGCCAGGCACTACTGTAGACGCTTCTTGTGTATTATCCCATTTAATCATCAAAAAGCCCTATGAGGTAAGTGTAATGTTAAAATCAGCCCCATTTTACAGATAAGGAAGCCAAGGCTCAGGGAAGTTGAGTAATTTGCTTAAAGTTACATAGTGAGTGGCCTTATAAGTGACAAAGCTGGGCTTTAAACCCAGGCAGACTGAATCCAAAGGTCAAATTACTTTGTTCTACCACTTCCCACCCTCCGGTCTCAGGGAAGCCCAGAGAACAATGCTCGTGGCTCCTAATTCGGGTGCCTCAGTTTTGTCGGAGGTTCGAATGATTTTCAGTGTCCAAAAGCCTCAGTGAAAACATCGTAAACTTGCAATCAGAACAAGTTTCTTTAGGTTGGAATCCACAATTAACAGTGAGTTAGCTTAAGTTTTGGAGAAGCTCTGATTGGCAGTTACATATACAAAAACATTGCAGGGTCATTTTTCTAAGTGGGAAGATGAATCATTAGTTAATAAACGCAAGTTAGTGGAATATATCTTTCTAAACACGTAACCGAGGGAGAGAGAATAACGGGTGCCTGGCTTTGAGGAGGTTGGGAGCTGCCAGTGTACGTGTATGCATGTTGCCCATCCTGCCAGCCTTCAAAACCCTGCCTATTTATTTATTTATTTGTTTCGTTTTCAAGGTCTGGTGATAAGAATTATTTGTGGTGCCTTTATTTTTAAATTGCATGATTCTTTAATTTGACTTTAAGGCAATCTATTTTCCCTCGATTACTTAAAATAAAAAAAGTTTTACTGGTTTTGTATTTAATATTGGAATCTGTGTTCATCAAAACGATCATGTTCTTAAAACATGGCCAGGAGCTGGGATGCAGGGTTGCAAACACGGAACTCCTTGAAGCTAGAGACAAGATGCAAGGGCGGCAAAGAACAGACTTTCTATCCTACGTTGTCACCTGGGAGTGAATCTTTTCTAAAGGAAAAATTAAAATAAGACTCATGCTACCAAGACATGGGATGGGTTTTTACAAACAAGCGAAAGAAACCTGGGCATTAGTGCGCTAGGCTGTCCGCTCCACGAGTCGGTGGAAGGCCTCTCAGCAAATACTTTTTCGACGAGCCCCTGGGTCTGGGAAGAAAGATCCTAGCAGGCAGGCGGCAGCCTTTATGCCAGGAAGAGAGCTGGGTCTTTTGCGTGCGACTGTCTTTTATACCATGTGCGGAAAATGAATCTAGGCCCTGTCGGCCTTGGGAAAGCGCAGGTGACACCCCTGGTCCTGAGAATTTGATTAAATTAAAACTGCGCTTGCCTTTCCCCGAATCCTGCCTCTCAAACGCGCAGGGTTCGCGCACCGTCCGGGCTGTGGGGCGGGGCCCGGGAAGCCCGCTGCGGGCCCAGGCCTCGTCCGGGCGCTGCCGGCGCGCTGGCGGGAGACCCCG